GCTCGCCGCCCTCGCCGGCCGTTGCTAATGCCTGCGCAGAGGCCGGCGCGCTCTCACACAGCACTCTGTTTGCGCTGCGCGGCTCCCTACCGGCTCAGCTATATGGGACCCGGGGGGCTCCCCCTCCGGATCCGGCTCAGCTGCGCCGGGTCCCTCCGCCCCACTTACCTTCGGGGGATCAGCTGTTGCTGCCCCCGCTGCCGATGCCTCTGCTGCTGTCTGGCTGTGACTTGCTGCCAGAGATGATCTGAGCAGGATCCAGGGTGCAGGGCCCAGGGCAAATCGGCCTGTACGGCGCCCCATCCCCGGATGCAAGAAGCCGGCGGCAGATTCAGCAGTGGGGGCAGAGTGGGTGCTGAGCCCCTGGATGTGAAGCCAGCGCGCTGCGGCCACTCTGCCTGGCTCCGTGGAGCCCCCGCAAAGCACGGGGCCAGGTGCGGTTGCCCCGATTCGCGTCACCCCCAGGGATGGCCCTGCCTGCTGCACACCTGCCAGACCTGGATGGGGACTGCACAGCCAATAGAGGCATCTGCCTGTCTGGGCCAGCTGCCAGCGGGCTGTGGCTGCAGAGTTGGTCTTTGGATGGCACTACTGCCATGTGTGCCCCTGTCCGACCATCTGGGCAGATATCACCCAGAAGATGTTTCCGGTGTGGTGGCCTGCTTTGAACTGTCAAAGCATGTCCTCCTGGTCCCAAATGGGTCCAAGGTGCCAGCTCTGAGCAGGCTCCTCTGCTTGGGTCCTGCCACTTGGCTCCCTAGTAGGAATTCTGGTGTTCCCTATTTGAAAACTGAAAAATCTCTGATAAAAAAAATCCCAGAGTCACTCTGTAAAATACCCCAAAGTTCATGTTCCTCCACAATTAAAACAAAAGACCACTATATATATATATAGAGAGAGAGAGAGAGAGAGAGAGAGAGCGCAATCAGTTGGGCAATGTTTTATTGATATATCTACAGTGTTAAAGTAATTTGGAAGCCTATCAGTGTTTCTATCATCATAATAAAATGATTCCTAAATATCTATGTGTTTTGCTGTTTGCCTTTGGTTTTCTTACCATGCAGCATTTAGAGCTTCCCAGACCCCTTCACTAACCAAGATGTGGGGATTGCTGCCCCTGCAGCCACAGCTCCTGGCAGCAGGTCTCATCCTGTCTGGCAGCTGGGCACGCAGGGTGTGTGCTGGACGGATGTGGGGCTGGTGGGAAGTGGGGTGGGGGCATGTGGGTGGCTGTGGAGGGTGTGGGTGGATTGTGGGGGGACTGTGGGGAGGGGGCTGCTTAGGATGGGTGGGTCCCCT